CCCTGAAGACATACTACAGCATTTAGCAGACCATTACAGGAATCATTTCCGTTTTCCAATTGAACAGGTGATAGAAGAAACAAAGCTGGATGTTGAAGAGGAAATGCAGCTAGCTTTGGCAGAATATGTAACACATTCAGGAGATCCTTTTAACGTGACTTATGAAGAAATTAGAAAGGATATTAGCCATTTACATCCAAAAAAAGCTCTGGACACGCAAGGAACTTCGAACCTAACAATAAAAAAGCTTCCAGTTGAATACGTTTGCCCATTTGTAGTTCTATTTAATCGTTTATTTCTCACCAACTCATTTCCGAAATGTTTTAAAAATGCGCGCTTATTTTTATTATCGAAAAATGGACAGTTTCCATCTCTCGATGAGCTGAGGCCTATTTCCATTTTAAATGCTCTTGGTAAGCTGTACGAGAGAGCTTTTTATCGACGTCTCGAAAAATACGTCAGAGAAGCGGGTTTGATTCCAGATGTCCAATCTGGATTTCAGACGGGCGTCAGGCTTCAGACTCGTGTTCTGTCGCTTTTTGAGGAGCTACGTACAACTCTCTCCTCCGGCCGACCAGGCTTAGTCCTATTCATGGATTTTAGATCAGCGTTCGACCGAGTTTGGCACGACGCATTGCTAGTAAAACTAGCTAGGCATCGTATCAATCCTCGGTTATGGTTGTGGATCTATAGCTGGCTTAAAGATAGAACTGCTTTTATTTCGTTCAATCATCTACGTTCTACATCGTTTCCGTTGCAATGGGGCACCCCTCAGGGCTCTGTTCTTTCTCCTCTTTTATTTATTCTTTTTATTGCGGATTTAGTTAAAGTTTTGTCGACTCAAGCTCAACATTATTATGCCGATGATCTGGCTTTATTCTTTTCTGCTTCGCTTGGTATGCAATATCGTTCAGCAATGGCTTTTTTGAAACGTAAATCTCAAGACGCACTAGACGAGATTTCAGACTATTGCAAAAAATGGTTAATCGAACTAAGTACAAAAAAGACAGAAGCAATATTGATAAATGTTAAACATAATCGGTCACCATTTCAACTATCGTACAATGGTGAGACTATTTCATTTGTAAAAACTTTCAAGTACCTCGGGTATATGATTACTCCGCGCCTCGGCCTTGGGAAGATGCTTATTTCTCAGCGTCGTCTAATTACTTCTTCGTTTCATGTTGTTTCTCGTCTTTTTTGCCGTTCTGGTATTTTGTCCATAAAACTTCGTCGCCGAGCTTTTTTCGCCTTTGTCTACCCTTTTTTTATATGGTTAGCTCCAGTTTTTTTCTATTTCACTGATATCCAACAACGCAAACTGTCCGATTTATATGCGTTTTATTTAAGGCGGGTGTATGGTTTAGATTTTCTCGATTATCGAGTATTTTTTTCTTTAACTGGCGAAAGAACTTTAGTGGATCGTTTTTCTGCTTATTGGCTTAAATTTATTTCTAAGTTTCCATTTTTTCCTGACAATGTATCATTAATAGGAACATTGACAATGTACTCAAATTTTTAGCGTGATCGCGATTTGTGTCTAAGTGAATCTGGTTTACGTAGAAACTGTAAATCTTCTCGCCTTTTGGCAGTAAAGTACATTCATGTTTTTGCTCTCTTTTTTGATTTTTGGCAGTTATACCGTCATCATTTTAACCACTATGCGACAGAACGCAATTAACTTACTCATGGGCAATTTTAGAAACACGTTCCGAGAATATCAAAAATAGTTATTTTGAATGGTTTTGAATAGTTATACTTCGAGAGCTTTCTAATTATATGTTCAGAAATATTCTATCGCGTTTAATCTTCTGGTAGTAAGCGAATCTTTGGTATCACCAAAAATGTAGGCTGTAACAATAAAAATTTTGAATATTTTTTCATTTTGACAATAATTACTTCAAATTGAAACATTAAACTTTGGTTTACTTACCAGTTTATAAAGCAGAACTTTCTCTGCCAACTAGACGATCTTAGATTATTTCTGCATGGCAAAAACTGGTCAAACTGTTAATTTTACCAAAAGCCTGCTTTGTGAAAAACAGTACTTTTCCCGAAATCCTTTTTTGGTAAAAAATGATGTTCAACAAAACGCGAATAATTTCTGACCTTTGTGTCGTGTATCCAGTTCTAACAACTTATTGTGTAGAAAATTGTCTGTTCTACAATCTTATGTCGTAAAAACGTTTTAGTAATGTGCTACAAAACGTTTATATAAGAAATTCAAGCACTCAGCGAGATACCTGATGGGATGGAAGGTGGGCGGGTTACACACCCAGTAAATTTGCAGAACAATCCCCAAAGGACGAAAGGAACGAGAAACGAACTAGTTCAGCAATTTTTTCTTTTTTCACACCACGTAAAAACCTTGTCTTTAACGATCTCACTTTTGTGAAGCCCTAAGAGGTTAGTGTGAATGATTTCTTGATTTTATTTAATCTTTTCTCACAAACTTAGTTTTTAGGGCATAGCAAAGATTCGCTCATTCTGAGGAGACTTATAGCGATAGAAAATCTTTGAACACACAGTTCGAAAGCTCTTTAAATGTAGATTCTCAACAGATTCTTTTCATTTTCCGAAATGTATTCTATCACAAAAAAAATGACGAAACATTTTGTCAATTACTTTTGCGTCTTAGGTTTGATATCTGATTCACGTATACTGTACCGAACAAGAGTTCATGAGTTTGTAAATGTGAACTTAAATGCACAGGTGCAAAACATTTCATGATTCCAGAAAAGGTTAAAAATCGAAGAATTTTGCAATCACTTTACATAGAAACCCATTTCTCGTATTACAAATGTGTGTGTACGTATGTGTTTAAAAATATATCTGTAAAACTGAGGCAATAAATTCAGATTTTGTGTGCAGGATAAATGCTTATAACCAACTGTATTTGAACAAATTATTGAGCTTTTCTCTTTTGCTTAACCAATTTTGGTTTGAATCTCCGATAACAAATGCGACAACAACAATATGGTAATAGCACTAATAGCACAATGATTGTAGTAGTAACGAGGAGGACAAGACTATATATGATGAACGATTGTTTGTAATTTGGTTGATTAAATATCAAATGTTGGTATCCAAATTCTAAAAATTCTTCGATGATAGTAGCTGCTCGAGTAGTACCACCAGCAGAACGAAGCAATCTGCCAATACGATGAGCAGCTGCAAAGAAATGATTCATTTTTTTAAAATCAATTGGATTTGGATACGTCATGTTATCATCAATGTTAACAGTAATGTTTTGTAATAATAGTGATATTTGTTGTTGCAATAATATTGGTTTCAAATTCCATCCGAAATGCATAATTCCACATCCAGATTTCTCAGCCCTTAATCCGTTATCAACGTGATCTAAAGCATGTGCTGTTAATGGTATAATTAACATTGGTTTGTTGAATATTAATGACTCAGCAACACTATTAAATCCTCCATGGGATATAAATAAAATTACATTCTCATGTTTTAATATTTCTATCTGTGGTAAATACGATGCATAGCGTACATTTGATAGTTGATTAATGTTTGCTTTTTCTAAGAGATATTGAAATGGTTCACTTAATGACCATAAATATCTCAATGTTTTGTTTTGTTTTGTTAGTGCTAAATGTATAATTTGAATACGTTCCAGAGTAGGAGATCTAACAGTTCCAAAACTAATGTAGATAACATTTGGTGCTTCGTCTAACCATAACTGAAGGTCATTTGGTAATACCTTTTTGTCGTAATCTGGTCTGAAATAAGGACCAGTCAGAAAATGAGATGGTAAAAGTGGATGTGCAAAATCTAAACCAATTGGTGATGAAATAAATAACGGATATTTTTGGGTGATATCAGTAACGTGGTCTAATTCACGAACACCAAAATGCCGACGTTGGATGTTGCTTGATTTTAACGAGAAAAAATCAGCTATAATAACATTTTCATTTTCACATAACCACAGTACAGTTGTTTTAACAAAATACGACGGCAAATATGTTCCATCAATTTGCAGGCTGTTCTTCGATAAACATTCATAATAAATAGATCGTGCAACTTTATTGAGCGTCAGTTTAATATTCGAACGTAATTGTGCTAATGTCTTCTCATAGTCAGAGAATGAGTAACGAAATTCAAAATGTGCTCCTTTTTCTGGTGTCAAACCAGACCACTTTGGTATTACAAAAATAGTACCATCTTTTAGCTTTTCATATAAATCGAAACGTGTTATTCTAATACGATTAAAAAAGGGTAATATTATTTTTGGAACAACATTTAATGTCAACGCTGGAATATGGTCATATTCACCTTCAGTTTCTACCATATATTTCACACATTTATTTAAGAGTTTTGAAAATATCTTATTACTAGACTGTTCGTGTTTGTTAGCAAAATTAGTATAAGACAATAGTCGAGTGGAAATATCTGGGTGTAATGGAATACCGCACAATGGCGAACAAAGTGCCAGTGTCAGTTGTACTAATAAAATAGCTGGTAACCGAAGAGAAGTCAATGATATGTCGCGAAAGGAAGTGCTTTTAGTAATATTTTCTAGTGTTTCAGGTTGAAATAGACCAACAAGATAGTCAATAAATTCTGGAACCGAAGTTAAACACTTTCGGTAAACATCGGACATAAATTTTTTTTCATTAATTTGTTGCTGATAAATGCCAGTTTTTAGTTTTTCTTCAATAATTTTTTTTACTGCTTCATCCACTTTTTGTGCGAACAAAGAAGATTCATCTGATTGAACACTAGCTGATTTTACGGATGTTTTATGTTTGTTCGGAGGAATATGACGGGAAGCATCCAGTTTTTGTAATTCTGCTAACAGCTCTTCTTTTAATGCGAGACCGTTTATACAATAACGTCCATAATTGTCAAATGAATCGTTTTTGGAAGATAGTCGTTCACCATTCCAGTATATTCGCATGAAACCCGGTGCAGCACTGATCGGTATTAATTCAGATTCACTATCGATAACGCCTTTTTCATACATAATATCCAATTCTCCCAAATTATCCGTATCGATATATCTTGCATCCATTCCACCCTCCACCGAGCTGCCATATATGCAACGGTTGCCATAAAGCGACTACAAAAACATCGAATGGTTTTATCAAGTTCTTATTACGTGAAGGTGTAAAACGTCTAAATAATACAGTTTTTGATTGAAAGCAAATTCTGAGTTTAATAAGGAATGCGAATTAATTTCGCGGATTTTTTTACCAACTAGGACAAACAAGTTCACAAGAAACGTGGTCGTAATGTCCGCATCTCAAAAAAGAAAAAACGCAGCATTTGCCTGAACATTAGTCGCGTTGATAAAATTCCAAATTCGATAAAACCGTTACTGCAAAGCTACCAAATCAACGATAAAATTCTGTTTTTTTTTCTGTTATTTTTGTTGCTCAATGAACTTGGCCATGCCTTCAAAGTTTTAGCAAATTTCTAATAATAATTACGGTACTATTATAACCGATTTTTCTATCTGGAATAGCTTATGACAAACAATAGTTTCTTGTTATAATAACAACATAAAACCCTTCTCCTTGCTGCAAGATCTTCTATGGTTTTCTCTATAGTCAACTTACATAGAGAAATGCAATTTTTTCGAACACTTCTAACTTTTATCTCATTCTACCTATGTAATAAGTTGGCCGGGCAGTTGAATGTAACGAGTCGATAATCACGCCGTTTCCATTACGACATTTGAGCGCTGTTGAGACAGCGAACAAATTAACCTACATCGTGCTTCCTTTTCTAGATCTTCAAAATACGTGCAGAGATTAACATCACAGCTGAAATGTGAGACTTTTATATCTTAACTCCTCTAACATCACTACGCTTGTACTAGTGTATCGGCTGTAAGGCGTATCGCTTCCCACATTCACATTTATTATCCTGCAATTATGAGTCTTTTTTTACTTAAGATCAAAACAACTCACAGATAAACTTGCATACGTGTCCATGATAGAGGCTGAGTTGATGGAAGTACACAATGACTGGATTCTTACCCACCTACAGCGTGTACCAAAACAAGATCCAATGAAAGATGATAAACCATTAAAATGCATTTTATAATCAAATTTTTTGTTGGTATATTCCAACTTTGTTTTCGTCTTAAGATGCTGCGTAAGGTAGTGAAGGAATGAAACAATTTCTCATGTAATTTTTTTGCTTAGTAGCAAAACCTGAGGTGAAGTCGGTGAATCACCAAGCAGAAAGATCATCATGGTTTGAATAGTCACAACTACATTAAAACAAAGTGTACATACAGGAACAAATAATCTCACTAAAATTTCATTCTACGAACACTAAATCGTCGTTTAGTAAGCCCATCCCATTATCTCAAAGCAAGAAGGTTCTTTCATAGAAAAGATTAAACGTTTCAGCTGTACTTTTTAGAATTAATCAAAATTGTAACACATTACTCACTTTGTCTGTGTTTTGCTTCGTTTTATCCGCTATGAATGAACGTCATATAAAATCAACTTCTGTGTTATTTTGTATCTGACAAGCTGCTTGTAATAATTTTATATTATGTAATCTTCTCTTTGGTTTCCTCTAACCACATGGAAATTAGCCTAACACACAAGATAAAAAGCGATAAAAATTGATTAAATTTTAAATTTTAGTACCTACAGCGTGTTTACCAATCTACGGAGATTTGGTGTTCCGGGAATGAAAATGTAATGAGACTACTTGTTCCTGTGGACGTGCTTTGTTTCAATATAGTTGAGACTATTCAGACCACCATGACCTTTCTTCTTGATGATTCACCAACTTCTCTTTAACTTTCGCTACTAAGCAAAAGAAATCATTTTTTCTACGTAGGGCGATCCAAAAGTAGTGAGCGAGGTACTATTTTTTCTTATAGAAAGCTTGAAAAAATTTTCTTTTTTTATGAATAGATAGAGCGTCTTTCGCTCTATTTTTCTATGCTATTTGATCAC